TGCGGGGACACTTTTCGCTATTCATTATGATGACATACGATCCTTTGTTTGGAAGCAACACGATAACTGATTTATCTTGCGGTAACGCACTTGGAGCTCAGTCATTGTGCTCTTGCTTTACCTTATTGCGGCTGGCTCCTTGAAAGGGATATGCCGGCTCCATGAATGTCTATGACTGTTGCCATAGAAGACATGATCATAAAGTTGGAGAGTTTGGTACGTGAGACGTCCCCAGCGACATCCGGCGTTTTCCTTTTTCATTTTGAGAGCGCATCTCTGGCCTTTGCACAACCAAGTACGAACTGCAAGGCAGCAGGAAGGAAGCCCTCGCCTCGGAAGTGAGATGGTCAATGACTTTAGTTTTAAAAGGCCAATCATGTCGACCTTTGTCACGACACCGTCAATGGGCTTATGCGGCTTTCAAACAGGAGCCAGGTGATCAACTTGAAACCCACCCCACCCTGGTAGTGCCACCGCTGCTTGTTCTCGACCGCTTATTTGTTGCGGTATGCCACAACTTATTCACAGCTAACCTTCTTCGGTGAAGGTATCCCTTTACCCACAACCCGGAGACGCGTCTGGTAGCATTCAGCTTTGCTTAACCCGAGGGTATCCAGAGTTACTCTGTACTTTAGTATAGAACAGAAGGCAGTGTGACTCAGCGATTGCTGATCCGTCAGGATACAGTTCCTAACTTGAAACATCAATTGACCTGATTGCTGCTCATTGAAATTCAATTGAAAATGTTTGGGGCAAAGATGTCAAACACTCACATTCCAACGCATTGAGGTCGAAAATAGATATCGGCAAGTTTTAGTGAGAGTTCGCCTATGGTGGGGTATATGGGGCATTCGCGAATAATGCAGTTTACGTCCTTTCACTACATTCGCCGACGTATAACAGATATCCTCATGTGAATGAGGCCAGAGTAACTGGTCTCTTAACGAAAGAACATGAATCAAACTTTGAAAAGGTAATGTGGTTGAATAGACATTGCCCACAGTTTGTGAAAACATGTGGTACCGAAATAGAAATAAAAAATCGAGGGTCAAACGACTTAGCTTTACCTGCCTAACTTAAGCAGATGAATAACGAAGTGATTGAGGTCTCTATTCTCATCCATCTTCCCGACGCACGTTTTGACTCAGTCTCTGGTTGACCGATACGCAAAATGTTGAAGCGCAGAAAACCTCCGGGAATATAGTCTTTTGTCAATCTATCCGTACTAGATAACTGTCCGTAGTTTAGGACTGACTCCCCCCTCTGCCGCTAATCAAATTCGACAGAATAACGAACAGCCGGAACCAGACCTCAAATTTCAAGTAAAAATCATTATTGGTAAACTGAAGTGATTTGTTGAGTGATTTTCCCGATTGAACATTTTTGCGATTCGGCCATTTTAACAAAGGAACGAATGAACAGAAAGACTGACTCGAAAATGTGACACGTCTAGGAAATTAATATACAACAAAATCAATTCAGTGGGAATGACAAAGCATTACTGTGAAAGAAGTCAATAAGTGTGAGTATCAGAGGACCATGAACAATATAGAATACACATGATAGTCACGTGAGTACAGTATCGATTGACTTGTGACATCAACGACATCGTCATAATTGTACCAAGAAGCACCCAATGACCAGATAACTAAACTAGAATTAAGATTAAGGCTTCATGATTACTGTATTGCCACGTTAGCAACTCCACAAGAACACTGCTGTAGCTCTGGCATGAAGGTATGAAAACCCCAACCAAGAAACTGGGTCACATAGGTCCCGTTAGGCTCCTTGACTGGGGAACCCGAGATCATAGCCACGGATGGTTAGAGACACTGAACAATATGGCTGGGGGTCGCAATTAGTGACGCTCATGCATCTTCTCATTATTCTTGTAACAGCAGTCAACATAGATGAGCTATCTTCCGCTTGAACCTGCTCGCAACATTCTATTCTTCATTCTGCTCTTTTATCCAAATGGGAGACCAAAACCGGCACACGGTGCATGGGTAATGGTTGTAAAAACTGAAAATGAAACTGATTTCTGTAGCTACCTCAAATGCGGATTCGTAAAGAAATCTCCGAATGAAGATTTCCCTCTAAGGGACTGTCATTCGTTGGAGTCTCATCTGTAACTGACTATTACAATCGTTAACAGCCCAAGACATCAAGATTCTGGAAGTCTCTGAACAACATTGTATAAAACAACTGAGATAAAAGAGATGAAAACAAAAAAGTGTCCCCCTCCAGGAACCTCGCCTACAATAATTGGACAATGTTCTCTGAAAACGACTGACAGATTGAACTCCAATAAAGTTTTGCTCTAACTCCTAGGCACAGTTCAGTTCAGTTCAGTTCAGTTTTTACAACGATTGACCATGTACTTTCGTGTGCCGGTTTTGGTTGCTGTCTTTTGGGGTCCCATTTGGGTAAAACAGCAGAACGCAGATTGGAATGTTGAAAGTAAATTAAAGCGGGAGATGGCGAATTCATATACAGCGGTGTTAGGAGAATAATGCGTGGATGCACGAGCGCCACTCACTCAGTGTATCTAACCATCGGTGACCGCACATGCCAAGCACCAAGAAGCATGTACTCTTTTCTGTAGGTTTATGTAAAAATCAAGTTACTTATCACTGATTCTATGGAAAGAATAAATCAGTTTCATGCATGATCACAGCCGCACATAACTAGTGTGTCCAGAAAGCACAACGCCAACTTTTACATAACTAAGTGCAAACTGCAAACACAGGGATCCATGCCTTCTTGTCAGTTGGACAGCTGTCCTTCAGAGCAGTTAAATCAGGCAGTAGATCTCAAACGGCGACTAGGGAGTAACGGTCTTCTTATGCCACCCATGGCCTTGCCAAGGAATTCAGACCTCGTTTACCCGTTTAAAGGTTTAGTCCGCTTGTTCAACGGTCACTGATGCATACTTTAAAGCGGAGGGGTTGCACGTGAGATTTTGTAGCATGATGGAAACCAAAGAGATGGAATATGTCCCAAGGGCCACGAAAACTTATCACCCAGTTGAAGGTAGTCGGTCAAATTAAACGTGGTTAGAAAACATTAGACCATTACGCTGTGTCGAGATACACCTTACAAATCACAAAATAAGCCCATAGTCGTAATAAGAACACATGTCGTAGGTAATATATGTTTGCGGTGAGTTCCTTATAAAGCCAGTACAATCACATTTATGTGAAAAAATAACGGAAAAGAGTTGTGTT